CTGGCCAATTTTAAATGGCAGCTGAAGTTTAAACAAACGTAAAAATCGAACGATAGGTCAATCATCACCTGCATCTTCCTTATCCCATTTATTTAGGGTCGGCGTAATATGTTTTTCGCTTACCTTCGAACGACAGGTCAATATTTCCAATTAAATATTATGCCTTTTTATGTTTTATGACAGCATATTTATGATATGTATAAATGACTTTACTTCGTTATACAACTTCATATATCAAAATTCATTGTTGGTCTGATGTAAGATTTCTGATGCATTAGGATTCTAATCAAGGATAAAAATTACATTGATTTAAATTGAAATTTAATAAAAATCTGAATTAAAGTAGCCTAAGTTATTCTTCATAACATTAACTATATAGGAATGATAATCCCGTCAATATATATATATATAGAAATCAATACATACGTTTTCGTTGGAAGAATAATAATTTCACATTTTTTATTGTAAAAAATATTCCACACGAGAAATATTAAATCGTCTACAATTCTATTTTAACAATTGCTTACTACGAATTTCAAAACACACGATAAAATTTGATACCGTTCGAACAACAATAGTTTTGTATTCCAATTAAAATAAAATCTTTTTTATTCCAAAATACGTCCAGCTCATATGACATTTTGAAGCTGTGTAATGTTATATATTTCATGTAACCTTATATATAACAAGTTACCTCGAACTACGATTCAGAAAAATTCGATAGAAATGCTGCTCTAATGCTCTAATAGATACATAGGTTCTCATATAACAACACCATTATACTAACGGAGTATTTGAACATGACGATATTTTATATATTATTTTTCATGTGTTTTTCTCGTGCTATAATGAATCAGGAAAAACAAACAAAAAGGTCTCTATTTCGTTTAAGGAAAGGCTTTGACATTTTCGCTGTAAGAAAACATGGTCACGTTAACACGATTATATTCAGTTAGACCTTTGAGAAACTACGCGCGCAGTATGTCGCAACCACATAAAGAGTTATTGTATAACCTTTTCGCTTTCTTTGTCATGAGAATATTTATTATTTTATATTTTCACGAATATATTATGTATTTTCAATTTCATATTATAAGATTGTGTAAAATAAATTTTGTTCGTATACGACACTACAACGTAATTATATATATTTGATCATGAAAAATTGGAATACAATATAAGAGAATTTCGTTACTCAAGTCTCATATTTATTTATTTTAAACTTTGTATTCACACAAAATCTTAAGTGTGTATTGCTGAACATCATTTATTTAGAAAAATAATACGCAAGTTTCTCACTCATTCTTCATGTAATAATAATAAATATTCTGTGACTATTTAAAAGTGATTATATTACGTCTCTTTAAATGGAGAATATTACTATTTCTATCTACTTTAACTTCCATATTGGCTCTTACAGGAGTGAAAGAATGACATGAAAAACCGTTAAATGATTTTCAAATTATAGCGAACATACAGATATATAGATCCGGTGGGGGACTTTATAATGTTTTATGGATATAGACGTTTCTTCTATCCATTTTTAAGGTAGAGCGAGGTAAATTGTAAGATGTTCTGGATGAGTACCTCAGTTTAACCTATCATATTTTATCCGTCAAGCATCTTGCATTGTAAGCTGTGTTTTAGTTATAGATGTTAGGAATAAAACTTACGTTCAGTCTTTTTAGCATTTATTTATTTTTTGAAATATGTCGAAATATAAAAAATAATAAATATATATAAAAAGTATCGGCAACAAAAGAGTCAGATTAAGCTTTAAAATAAATACTAATTTGTACTTTCTTTTTAAAGTTATTTATCCAAGTTATTCTTGAAAAAATATGCCTAGGTACCACTGTCAACTTATTTCAGCCGCCAAGCTGATTAAGCTGTATTTAGGTTGAAGGAAGAGAATAAAATACAATTACAGAACTTACCGTGAAATTACAGAATAAGAGGCATGATATCTTTGTCTTCTAGAATGACTACAAATGAGTTGTAACACGGGTATCATATGACGACGTGATGATGTCCGTGTTACTGGTATATGGGTAACGGTTACCACTTTGTTACCGTCAGATAAGTCGCCAACTTGTTTACAATTTCAATAACATAAAAATAACATTTCAACCCTAGGTGCCGTTATCACTACAGTATTATAAATCAGCAAAGAATCGGTGAGCGTGTTGGACGGTTGATAGCTTATTATTTCCAATGTTGTTCCATAATGCAGCCCAAATCCGTATAGATTCGGCCTGGTCACGTTTCTCTTGTTGACGATTACACGTGGCCTTATTCAGTTATAAGGGTGAACGCACACGTACGATTCATCGCACGTAATGACTTTAACATGCGGTGGCCTAACATCGATCCCGCGACAACGGAATGTGGCAGACAGGATGCTGTCTGCCATATTCCGTACTCACTATATTATGTCCTTCAGAATATCTTGGAGCTTTTAGTGAGTTACAGTACCCGCTTATATCGGGGCGAGGGAGGCGGGAGTCCATGACAATTTTCTCCAAATAAAAAAAGGTTTTTTCGAACTGGCGACTGTTTTTTATAATAAATTTTAATTCTTTCTTATATTGATTACAACCTTTAAGTAAGTATAAATTTATTACTTTATTTCTGATCACGACTATTTAAAAAACGTACTGTACCGAACTTGTCTACTTGTCTACTAGCTGGCCAATGCAACTCATCTGTATCCATTTTCATCATTTTTTTGCAATTTTTTTATTAATGCTTCTCTTCTATTGAACGTAACATAATTTTATATAGCCTTCTACTACGAATGAGCTATCCAACAACAAAGGAAATTTTCAATTTGAACTAGTTAAGTAGGGAAATCTATACCTAACAATAGCGGGTACAACAAACAAACAAAATTCTTTTGCGTTATATTATTAGAACAGATGTATGTATGTATGTTTAGTCTTAAATCATAGGGTGACATTTATATAGAGATATCACATATAAAGAGTTACTTTTACAGTAGTAATTATTATAGTTTACTTGATTTCCTGATACCTAATAGTGAAATAGTTTGCTGATATTATTTAATCTATATTATAAGATTAAATAAAGTTTATGTGCTAAAAACCTTAATGTCATTTAGTGTGCGTTGAACCTAAGTGGTATTAACCGACAAAATTAAATGTGTACATTTGTGAATGAAATAATGATGTGATTCGCATAAATTACATTTGATCCAGTAAAATGAAATCCTAGTTTGTCTGTAATTTCATAATTAATATCTTTGAATCCTTTGGATCTACCAATTTGGATATTTAGCGTCTTCAAGACGGCACAGTATTACATACAATCTGTAGCACCATTGGCAAGGTCCTTAATATTTATTTATATCTTACTTATTTTTATTTCTTACTCTTTATTATTAGCTAGGTCGCTGTAGATTTTTTTCTTAGAAATGGCGATATAGGCAAAAGATGTTAGAGATTCCATATTATCCAACTTCTGTAGTAGTTTTCTTCTAGTATTCATTTCAGTTTGCTAGATTTCCCGTTCAAACTATTAGTTACGGGTTTACTAAATATGTACGCCTCAATATTAAAGAATGTATATTTATGTGCTAAAATATGAATTCTATTATAATAGCCTATAGTTATTGTGTATTATAATAAATAACTTTTAGGTATTGTACCTGTATAACTTATTTCGGGAGCATTCGTTGCAAATATTGTAAGTTTTGTAATAGGTAGGGATATTGCTTTGCACAAATTACTTCCTGCCGTCAATTGTCTCGGTGGTCCAGCGATTTCGCACACCACCTTATATTCGATCGTCGCAGGTTTGATTCCTCACACGATACAAACCTTTGTATTTATATGATTATATTATATTCATTTGAATATGATTGTTTGTATTGATCTGGGTGCCTTATACGTGTGTGTCCTTTATCCATATATACACACGTATAAAGCATGATGTTTTTTTTAAAAAAAATTCGATTCTATCAGTTATTTAGTAACAACAATACAAGTTCTGTTCAGTTTGGGACTAGGTGTAGCTTTTTTTTATACTACGTGCGTGGCTCTTCTGACGGTAAACGATTACCGTAACCTATGGATGCCATAAACATCAAGGATGTCACGTTGTTGGGCATAATTCAAGGTAGTAAAAGGTTAACCCTCCCTTTAATATGTGTGGACCACACAAAAGGAATAATTCGACTACATTTTTGGAGTACATGTCGGGGAACCACCACGATGTTTTAGACCGTCGTACTTAATACTACGAAGCTAGGAATATAAATAAATAAATAACCCTGAACAATTAACATAGCGCCATCTAGTCCCACAGTAAGCAGAGCTTTTGCTATGGGTACTAGACAACTGATGTAAATATTTAGATATTTTTTTTGGTATATACATAGAAAACAACCAGACCGATACAAACATGAGTATGATACTCATGAATACATATGCGCCGTGCGAGGAATCGATCCCGCATCTAGCGGAAGCTAAAAGCGGTATGCTACCCCGCTAGACCACCGAGGCCGTCAATGTAATACGTAAAGTTAAGAAAAACAACACACTTGAATACAGTTCTTTATTAAAAATCAATTGAAACATCCAGTTTAATATCAATACGGGGACACTTAACGTTTTATTTTAATTAAAATAGGGTTGCCTATAATGTACAGTTGCGTGCAAAAACATGTAAAACCGTCCATCTAAATGTCGCTAGCACATAATTAATTACATTTCTTTCCTCGACTGTTTTTTTCCATTACTAGTAAATTAATATGTTTATTTGATTTTGTGCGTGTAAAATAAAATACAACAAGCTATTAAGATATGAGAACTTATAATCTAGTTGCTCCTCATTTACATTTAATTATTTACATAGTAAAATGTTCTAACTTTAAATATAACTAGCTTAGCCCGTGATTTCAAGACCGTTAAACTTTTTTGTATGTAAATTGATTGGAATAAAACAAACACAAAATTTAAATTTTAATTATAATTTGTAATTTACCGTAAAAACAAAGCCCAAAACAGTTAAGCGATTGACTGAGATTGGCTTAGACGTACAGACAAAAATTGTAACAGTAATTATTTTGAAGAAGTACCAAAACATTAGTTTTCCTCAAATATATTTCATGTACAGACAAGTAATCAGTTAAATTTTTATTATGTGTATAAATATAAGTAATTACGGGTAGTTTGAATTTAACATACTTCACACTAACTTAAGATAAAATCACATTTTCTTCAATAGAAGTGTGGTTTACTGTTGTATTAAATGTTACACATAGGTTATTAATTTTATTTATTTTAAATACAAAATTTACAAAAATGTCTTCTAATAAAAACACCCTTTAATTACAAACAATTATATGAAATAGTATTTCATTAGAAAACATTTTTGTTATTATTATTTTTATATTAATTAATTATATAGTTTTATTAATATCACTATTTTATGAACTGAACTGTACTAAATCTAATTATGACGGAAATTATAAACAATTTAATGTATACCTAGAAAAATTAGTTCTAAAATATTTTTTTACATTCTCCTTGACCTATTTTATAGTTAAAGGATTTCATTATGTCTCTATATACAACATTTTTGACCTAAATTATACAATTCCGTGTTTATAATACAAATGTGAAATAATATTTTTCTTAAATCTACCATGTTTGGTAGCGAACTATATCACAATAGCCTTTTAGCGTTCTTCAAATACTATGATTAATTGCACGCTTCACGTCTATATTTCAATAATTCAAGCATAAATGTTTATAAGTTACATTAATATAAAACTAGGGATTTAAATAGTAACCATACAAAATGAGATCTTAAATTTTAAACAGTTGAGTCCTGTTCAAAAATTCATAATAAATTTTAATTTCGGCACTAAGGACAGACTATAATCATGTGTTTATAAGAGGAGTACTACAACCGTCAGTATAGTGAGTAGTCGGGTGATGAGCGGAGCGACAAGCGGGGCGGATTTGCCGGCAGCGGCGAGAGCGCTTGCTGCGGCCTCGACGCACTGTCTGTATGCCACATGTTCGAGACACGTGATAGCACAAAAGTGTTGATGTGCGCACGCGCCGTCACAGGAGTCCGAGCTTTCATGTCTCACGTTGTATGCTCTTATATATCTGTACAAAAAATATAATTTTATTATACGTATTTATGACTATGTCGTTGTTAATTGTCTTAGAAAAGATCGAATGGGCAAATAATATTGCCATTACACCGTATTACTATTATAATAACAGTGTTTACTAATATTACAATTGTATTTATATTGTGTTATACTATATCAATACAATTGTAATACAGATACTAGACAACTGATATAAAAATATACATACATTTATTTTGCAAATACATATATATTACACATAAAATATGCCTTACAAAGTAACAATCATACTCATGAATACAAATGTTTGCACCTTGCGAGAAATTAACCCGCGACTATCGGAAGTAAAACTTATAATATTGATCTAATATTTACATTTTTTCTACCATAATGTTGTGTCTATATATAGTAGACAAGTAATTAATATTTATGTGAGCAGTGTGCTCTCATGCTCGCAATGTGTGAGGATTTTCACAAACAAAATTGGCTACATACGAGTAAGTCACATGCGAGCACATCAACGGTAAAACCGGAGTTGAAGATAATCGCCGTGGCCGAAATCGGCCGGTATTACATTATCGTCATCAGCATCATTATCAATTAATAATGGACTTATTTAATAATTTTACAAAAACAAGTCCTTTTTCTCTATTACATTAGTATAGATTAGGATACATGTACGAGTATAGTCCACATACGACCTAACTGGAACGGAATATGATAATTCAATTAGCGAAGTCGTTGTACCGAACTTATAGCAGAAACGTAATTGAGACACAGGTAGGATCCGAAACTTACTTGTTGAATACTGTGGTCTCTTGCGGCGTGCCTATCCGAAGTTTGTCGGCTAAGTTGTGTAGGGAGTTGGCGGATACGTCGTGGAGGCCGTAGTATTGGGTAAGATTGTATTCCGCTGTCCATTCCGCTGCGCCCGTGTTGCGGTTAGCGGCCGCTAGGTCTAAATAGTATTGCGTATAGTCCAGGACCTGGTGTTGAAATTTTTAATTTAATGAATTGTTTCGCAAATCGCAAATAGCCAAATAATGTAATTTAAAATAAAACTTTAAAATTCAAATGTGGAACATCACGCATGGAATGTTGATATTGTTTTGTTTTACTTTATATGCATTTTTTCACTTCTGGGACATTCCGTGGCGTCAGTATTAAATTCTGTGTACTATAAATTCTAACCATTTTTTATTTCATTATTATAAAACTTAAATATAGCAATATTCGTTCAAAACAAACGTTAATCATATATCTTTACATAGTATACTACGTAATGCAGTGGCTTCCACTGCATATTCGCTTGTATCTTTTAAACTACGAAATTAATTTTAAATCAGTTTTTATTAATAGATAAGAGTGATTCCAGAGGAAGGTTTATACATATGTATAATACATGTACATTGAAGGTGGGTACTTAGTTTTGTATAAACTATGTAGAACCGCTCCACCAGGGGGTGAGTTCAAGTCTACTCAGATACAGGCTTCGTGCCTAGTTCAATTTCCATGCCCATACAATTATAAAATTGTTTACGAAAATGATTCAAGATCTGACCTGATATGATTGTGGCCTAATTAATTTTGTTATTAATATTTTATTTTCAAAGATCTAATGTTAACCTTGATTCTAGTAGGCTGTATATTATTTTAAGTGTACCTAATATTAATCCCTAATATTATATATATAGAGTCTCGTTTCGCTTTTCACTCTGTACACGTAAATCCAGTGTCTAAGTATACATATATAAGTATACTTATACTTCTTCAATAATAATAAATATTTATCAATAAATATAAGAATACCCGACTTTAATAGTAATTTTAATTATTTACACTTATAATGGTGATGTTTTACCAAGGAAGAGTTCATTTAGAATTAAAAATCAACATATTTTTCTAATTCGTCTTCGTATTTTATACCTTACTCTTAAACTAACAGATAAGAAATAATGATACTTTGATCGTTGTCCAAAGTCTGAACAAACCTTTTTAGTTCGCCGATTCATGTAGGTTTTTGAGTGAACGTCAAAGCGTTCCAAGTTCAAATAGTACGTAGCACTACTTGGGTAAAGTCGAGTACAAAGAGAGTTCTAACAAACTTGTACTTGCTAGTGTACTTTTGTTTGAAGTTATACCTGACTGGCAAATTATGAGAACTAACCGATCTCGCGGCCTCTGAATTATAAGAGCAGCTAGAAATAATATCGAAGTGCTCTTTTAAGCCGGTAAGAGTTGCTCAGTATCTGCTCGTCCAACTTTTAAGACAAGTGGGTCTTCATGTCGGATTATTTCCAAGTCAAATTGAAAAAAAAAAAGTATAATATAAAAGTATATAATATTAATAAAAAATTCAAATATATAACACAACTAGAAATAGCATTATATTAAAACCAAAAATACATTGAGGTCAAACGAAAATAAACTAAAATATATGTTGCCTATAAATAATGCATTGTTTCATGATTATTCTTGAAGTATAATGTATTTTTAATTATAACCTATATCTAAATAATCATTACTGGTCCTTAACGAGTCCTCTAATGTAAAATAATCGTTAAGTTGATCGTCTATATACTACTTTTATTATTAATCAATGGCTAAAATCTGCGGCTTTACCTGCACGATTTTTGATAATGATTCTAAGGATAGAATATTTATAATTCAGGTAATAATTGAGCTACGTTAGGATACGTTAATACGTTAGGATTATAAATTGTATCACAATGACGACGCTGCGCATTCTTTACACATCTAGGCAAATACATTGCTTAAAATCTAAGAAACTTTATTCAAACTGGTCTCGTGCTACTGGCTAATATATACAACAGTATTTCAGCTTCAAAGTGAATTACCTATCTTAGGTATTATATTCCTTCTATGTCAATTGTGCGAAGCAGGGATAATATTTAAAAAACAGTGTCGTGTTTAGTTTTCGTACAAAAAAATTTGTTCTATAATTTATAAATTATTGAGCGTTCAGTACCTACAAACTATTCGTGGCTAATCTTTGTTATTGTATTTTTATGTTTGCAGCAGCGACTAGAGAAGCACAGTAACAAAAATGCAAAATCCAATTATTCGTTTTAAATAAAACATTATATTATAATATATAATTCTTCTGTAAGCAGTTTATGACGTAAATTACTTTTCATCCAGAAAAATTAAATTCTAGCACATAAGTGAGTAATATATAATTAGTCCATCTTTAAATAGGCAATAATATATAACTAGTTCTGGATGCTACATTAATATACAAGAATTTTGCTCTCTATGGTCTGTGCCTGCTCTATAAGTAACATAATATAATGTCACCACCATTTTGTTTTAAACTAGATACTCGATTTTATGAACTCGATACAAAATCCTATACTCAGTTTTCAGGCCAGTGTATACCAATAATATTATAGTAAGAGACATATGGATCCAATTTCATCTGTGTAGTTCAAGGGTTGTTATTGGGGGAGAGCGTTTTAGTAATGGGAATTAATAACCTTACTGCTAGAAAAGTACTAATCGACTTCCATACAGTTCCCTCTGGAAACCATTGCAGTTGTCATGATGAATTCGCTACGGCATTTTGGCTTAAATAGCTGACTGATATAATTTCTTGCTCGTGATATCATCCTTCGCTTGAGTACGTATATCATTAGAGCAGACAGGTGCACTATTACATCATCATTCACATACATAAAAATAGGCTTTATGACATAATACTCTATACCTAATTCATACAGGCAAAGAGCTAATTTAGCTTATTTTGTAACTTTAAATTATTAGTTTACCTTTCCATTATTAGTATCGAATTTGTAAAGTCTAAGGCCAGGATTAGAAGATCCGGCGGGATCTCGATGCGGGCTCACAGACGGCGCTAGCAGTGCCCAAGAGACTGGTCGATCTGTAAAGTATTACAAAGTTAATATTGAACAATAATAATAATGTAGGACAATTCCCATAGCATCGTCTGACCCAAGCTTGTAGTTTGGATACTAAACAACTGATATAAATATTTAAATATATGTACTTATTATAGTAAGAAACCACCCATACAAATCCACACACAGTTATTAATGAACTGAAATATTTGTATTGCATGAGAAATCGAACCCGCGACCACTAGAAATAAGAACATATGCTAAACCGCTAGAGAATCGGAGCAGTCAATATCATCATCTGCTTCTTCCTTATCCCATTTATTTGTGGTCGGCGTAATATATTTTTCAATAATACATATTATATGTGTACGTATGAATGCCTGACAATTTAGTTTTCTGGAACGGCAACGCATGATGGATGCCACTGCGTCACATGATACCGTGATATCCGTGCTGCTGTTTATTGTTTATATTGCGTAGGCGACGATTCCACTTACAAGTATCTTCCTACCACTGTCATACATAGTTTACCTCACTTTTAAATATATGCCATATTACCAACTCCTTTTTTCTTATATACGAGTATAAATATACACTCTATATCATTCGTACATGTGTTAAAAGAAATTGTAATTGAAACATAATTATTGAGTAAGATATAATTAGTATTTATAATAATTACAATTTCAAATAATGATATTCAAAATTGCACGATTATTTGGTAAAATATATAAAATTTCCTGAAATTTTAGTACTTTTATCGGTAAATCAAATATCATCGAAAAGTATATCAATTACCAGAATTATTTAATTTTAATAAAAACGAGCGGCTTTTAACAGTATTAAATGAAGACTTCATTTGATTTTAAAAGCTCTTATCTTAACCGATTATTGAAGTGACGAACGAGGAAAATTTCGTAAAGATTCTCTCTTCAATAAATACTTTCAAAGCCTCCTATTTTTGTCTGACTCACATGTAACACTTGCGCCACAATTTGGTATTAATAATTGAAAGTATTCGTACGCTTATCTCTTCTTGAAATAATGTTTTTTTAGTATTTTTTTTCGATGTTCGTCATACACGCTGACGGTCTACTACCTCATGGTAAATGCTAACAGTTATATACATATATATTCCTTAATAGCAATCGAGATAACATGTTATCATATGACGTATATTATACAGCTCAGGCGTTGTTATTCTAGAGGTCTAAAATAGCATGCCTCTTATCTCGTAAATTAAATTTAAATCTTCAACCGAAATATAGATTACAAAGCAAACTTTACTAAAGCAGACATACTTTTTCTAAGTAGGTATAGTCTGGATAAATATCATTAAAAACAAAGTATAAATTAGAAAGAATAACACAAATCTTCGTAAATTTGGTAACCCTGAGACTACAAGAATCCTATGTGAACTATCAATATTTACTAATATTATACAGTATATTTGTTTATATCCTCATGACGTGTAAAAAAATTTTATATAATTTGCCATACTCGTAGTATTTTTATAGAAAAGATTTTTAAATAAGATAGATAACTCTATATCGTAATTAATGAATATATCTCGACCATAAATCTAAATTGTCGGTAAAAACTACTCTAGAAGTATGTAGCTTTCCATCGACTATAAAAAATATTTTTTTAAAGTCATCTCTTCAATTTTATGATACTCTCTCAATTTCTTTTGAGTTTATCCATTCTTCATATTTTTATGATTACTTTTGCAATGAACAGTGGTAAATGTTAGTTTTTTTAATAGTTTTAATTACGTAATTGTTGATAAGATTTCATGGGCGAAATGGAAACCTTGATAATTTAAAAGAATGTTTCTTTTTAGTGTAAGATTAAGATTAATTATTTAATAATTAAAATTATAATTCTATTTTTGAAAATACGCATTTGATATAATAAATAAATATACATTAAACCTCATCAACTGAAGATAAATTAAATTACTTACAAATAAAGACTTACCATGATCGTATATGACACGGAATGTATCAGCGTGGAGGTGGCCGAAGAATTGTCCAGCGATTATTCTAGAATGACGTCGAACAGTCTGTAGATACTTTGCATTGGCATCAGCTGATGTGTCGTATGCATAGCGGGAATCAGAACCGGGGGCAGCGTGACCGACTATGTATACCTGATTAACAAATATAAAGGCGGTATTACACTATTGTAACATATCTTCCGGCATGATAAGGCATGAGGCTAACACATGTCATATGACTATATGTTCGTGTTGGTCATGAAGACGGCAGTTTCCATTCATCATCATCATCATTCATCGACTGTGCCGTCATATTGTTGCCATACTACTTGTATGAAAAAGAAGAGATATATCAAAAATATTATATTAGTGGTACAAAACACCTTCTTTTATATATTTATTATTATATATAATATATAACCAAAAGTATATTTACTTATATACAAGATAGGCTGTGTGTTTGTTACGCTTTTAAACCTAACCTACATAACCAATTATGATATCAATATATGATATACATATGTATATGATATGATAATTGGTTATGTATTTGCATATAAAAGCTACTGTTTATCCCGATTAGTTACGGAAACAAGGAAAAAGTTTCTAACAAATATCAAGTTCGGCATCAAGTTCAAGATATTATTTCAGTATAATTAATATAACTTTAATTATTTAATTTAGTTATAAACTCTTTATTTCACCAATAGAATTAATATAATAATTTAATGATATATATGAAAAACGGGAAAGTTCAATATTTATTTAGAATTTTGTTTTAAAAATAGTTAAATATTTTACACTACAAAGGCTAAAATCTATGCTAGTACTGATAAAATTTGAACGGAACTTCTATTCTGCTATTCTAACTCTTACTACGCTGCTTATTAGTATTTATTTATAATAAACATAACATTATAAGTTATTTAAATAAAAAATTAAAATATGTGTAATTTACAAATTAAAGTTATAACGAAAAAGTACTCGTAATTTTTAAATGTAGGAGTAACAATGTGTCTTCATACATACGACATAAGAGTTATATTACATTTTCTGGCAGATTTTTAATATAAGAAAACATAGCTTTCATTTGCATAATTTTAAACATTATTCTGAACACTAATATTTGGTATTTCTACCTTTACAACTGTGTCAAATAGCTTTATATCCAGGACATGGCCATAGCTTAACAACACATAGTAGTCCAATTAAGTATTAAGAAAGACCTATGTGTAATAAAAATACGAATATATTTATAAATTTACAGAATTTATTTTCTAATTCTTCATTAATTATTAACAAGTTAAATATATAAACGAACATTTTAATAAGTAATAATAAGTCAATAAATAAGCCTATACAATTAACACAGCGCCATCTAGTCCCACGGTAAGCAGGGCTTGTTGTATGGGACAACTGACATAAATACTTTTTTTTGTAAATTCATACATAATTAACATAGAAAACACCCTACTGTTACAATCACAGCCATGAATACAAATGTTTGCACCATGCGAGGAATCGAACACCCGACGATCGGAGATAAAGCGATGTGATAAACAGCTAGACCACCAAGGCCGTCAATAGTTCCTCCTTTTTTTTCGATTTCGAGGTAAGAATAATAAATACTATGTCACAATTTAAGCGTAAAAGTCGCTTAAAGTATTTTTTTTATTAGTCTAATAGAAATAATAATTTCATTAAATAAGCAGATAAAATATTCTAATAGTATCGCAAGGTATGAATAGAATACTTAATCCACTGAAACTTTCATTATCAATTTACCTTCTGTTAATTTATAATCTGTGAAGCGCTCGTGCTTTGTACAACTATTTACTTGGCACTCATAACTGTGAGTTATTGTGGGCCTATTATAATTACACATAACTGTGAATACGGAAATCTATAATTCACTACCATAATATGACTGAAACGTAGCTAAATATTTTGAATAGGAAAGTGGAGTTATAAAGCGCGCTATGTGTATTTACCATAACTAAATTACTAGAGTTTTTACTGAGTTAAAGTTTGTATAAATTTTATCTTAGTACCTCATTCTCACCTATTTCAGTTGCCAAGCTTGTTTGTAAGCTGTGTTTCAGTTGAAGGTTGAGATAAGGCAGTAAAATAACGTGGTATGCAGATATGACATCTTCTTTCGGAATGGCAACAAAGTTCATAAACAGCACTGTTAATGTATACAAGTGACCACTTACCATCAGGTGGGTGGTCAATTTATTTATCATTGTATTATATTATACACAGATATACCTATATAACATATGTATAATAGAATGAAAATTATATTTATATATATTTGACACTCTATCCTTACTTCCTTACTAATATTATAAATGCGAAAGTAACTCTGTCTGTCTGTCTGTCTGTCTCGCTTTCACGCCAAAACTACTGAACTGATTTAAATGAAATTTGGTACATACATAGTCACGACCTTGAGTCCTTACTCACCTAGGCTACTTTTTAATGCGAAAAAAGGGTTGTAAGGGGTTGAAAATGGTAATACAAGGTTATCTTTATGCGGTTGAATACACACATTATAATAATGGCTTAACTAAAAAATTAGATATTTTGGAAAGTCTACTTTATAATTGTGTTATGAAGTCTATTTTCAAAAATTTTTATGTCTGAATTACACCAGTATTGTACTAGATATGCGACTTATTAACGCTCATATGTCATAAATAAACATATATGTCATTTGTATAAGCAGCGCGCATGCGTTATATAAGTTGCGCGCGCAACTGATTATTGTCAATCCGTTGTCTCCTTATGAATTTAAATGAATAAATGTTTGCTCTGCAATTTTATTTTATAAATACATAAATATAATCCTGGTATAGCCTATAACTGATGACCCTGCTCTTGGACAAGAGCGTAAGAACATATTATTAATATTTTTGAAGAATAAAACAACATATAATATTAAAAATGTTGTCAATACATATGAACAACATTTCCTTGGAAGAAACAACATCTACCGTTCCATCCGAGCTATTCAGGTTCGGAATACGCGTTTCTCCATTCTGGCCAGTAGAGTCAGAGATATGGTTTGCGCAAGTAGAGGGATAGTTTGCAATTTAGAATATCACATCTATTATTTTGATTTAACAAAATTTTATTATGTTATTGGCCAACTGGACCACCAATTTTCAAAAGAATTTAAAGAAATGTTTAAACTGTTTATTAAATATAAAATAAATATGACATTTAAATTTGTAAATATCACATTGTCTCCATTCAAGGGGTAAAATAAAATAGCAGAATAAAAGTTTTTATGGAAATTCGTCATATTTGAAGCTAGAACGATGAAGCTTTTTTCTTACGCTTTTTTGGGTCAGTTTATTTAATAAATACCTTACTAATATTATGAAAGTGAAAGTGAGTCTGTCTGTCTGTCTTAAAAGCCAAAACTTCTGAACTGATTTAAATGAAATTTAAAGTCTAGATCTTGAGATAGGACATAGGTAACTTTTTAATGCTAAAAAGGTTTATAAGAGACTGAAAGAGGAATTTTTTAAAAGTTTAAGCTTCAATCTTATTTTTTTGCGTATTGATTAAATATAATTAACGAAAATGGGTTGTAAGGGTCAAAAGGCGAGTTAAAATGTTGTATGCATGTATTGTCATTTTTTAAAGCTAGAAACTTGAAACCCATTTTTTAGGCTGTTGAGATAATATCAGTACCTACCGCCACAGGACTCAGCCATAAATGGTTACAGTATAGCGACATCTTATCATTGGTACATGATGACACTAATATAAGTAGCATTAAAAAAAACAAGAAAAAGGGTTATAAGGGGTTGAAAGGGGAGATGTAATGTATGTATGGTATGTATGGAAGTATCTTCATTTTAAAGATAGTAGTTTGAAACTTAGTTTTTGGCTGTTGATTGAATTGTATGGAATTATGTATGGAAATTTCATTTTTGAAGCTAGAACGATGAAACTTTTTTATTGGGTTAGATTATTAATATATATTTTTTATTATTTGCTCAAGGTCACTATTTTAAGCGGACGAAGTCGCGGGTACAGCTAGTTATAATATAACTGCAGAACTTTGTGAATATAGATGGATGAATGGATCTTTATTACTTTATTTCATGCAAAAGTACTGAATGGATTTTAATAAAACTTTACAAATATAGCTTAAACATTAAATTAACACATAGGGTGTAAATTTAACGCGGAAGAAATACGGGCACAGCTAGTATATTATAATTTGATAACTTCAGAATATTATTCTTTCGGAAATGATAGAGAGCCTCTCAGTCTGTCTTACCATATCGAACCTATAGACTAATATTATGGCAATATACTCTAGTGTAAATAGTCAAGTAGTAAACATTTAAAAATATACCAAAAAACGTATCGGGCATATGTATGTATTAGGTAATTACGGCAAATCTCATTATAATATACACACCCACATATTAATATAAACAATGTAACAATTTGCAAAGTTTCACGCATATTAAATCCACACGCTACGCCCACGGCAATACAACAAAATAAAAGTCAAATAAAATATTCAACCAATCCGTCGACTAAGCCGAAACCTCTTTAAAAATTACTTTTCCGTGCAATTTCGAAGAGGCGATTAGATTAACGAGTTTCTAATCTGTAATTTATTAGAGCGGTGGGGCCGGACTTCCTTACCCCAGTTCCGGGGCTGTAGTTATGAACCGCCTCGTAATGTAACTAACCACTTGTTAATATAAACAGCGGTACTGTTGTTACAATGTGACAAAAATAATCAATTACTGACAATTTGTATTTATTACGAACTGAGTTTATGATCAACTCTATGTGCAAAATAAGTGTTCTTTTATTATCAATGGACTACCCTCGTCTAATGGTAAGTTATGGCCAAACTTAAGATGTAGCGCGCTTACCCACAAGAAGTCTATATACCATAGACTTGAAGAATCCGGGGTTGTATTTCTACGAGAACACGAAAGCTGGAAGCGTGTTCCAGTCTTTGGCAGTACGTATTAGAAAAGACAACGCGAACCGCTCAATGGAATGTGTGAAATTTCCACGACATACGGATGAAGGTCTAGTGTTTGTCGTGTAATTCAGTGATGAAAAAGGTAGGCAAGATCGAATTATGAAGGTCCTGTGCCCACTCGCCAAAGTATATCCTATAAAACACCGACAGACTGGCCTTTTTGCGTCGATGTTCTATCTCTGAAATCTAGCTTTATTAATCCTCAATTAACCTCAAAGATCGCTCAACAGAGTCCAGGGCAGCCAGTTGATATTTGGCAGATCCATCCCACAAATAGCTACAATACTATATACAATAAGTAATAATGTACAATCGGACTTGAGCTTGGTATAAAAGATTAGGACAAACTGAGTTTGGTTTTTAACGAAATTAATTTATAATGAATGAAAAAGTATTATATTTATGACAGTTATATTAACATAATATACTCGTATTAATTATGTCATCAAGTTATTTACTATGTTCTAGTTTAAATTGTTTGAAGTTATTTATGTCATGAAGTTTTTTTACTGTAACTGTTTGCCGTGCGCCAGAACTTATGTTTGTTGTAATAAAAAAATTACTTAAATGTTTATAAAATAAAATTCGATGGAAATTTTCAGTTACAAATTGTTATACGCGTAACATTTCATTGTTTTGTTCAAAATTTTCGTTAGAATATTTATTTTCTAAGGCTTTTTAATTTCTAATATATAATTTAATGGACAAAAAATAAAAAAGTGTCGGCCGCAAGAAAAAATGAGAGTAAACAGGAAAATTGACAACTGACAGGGAGGAAACAGACATTTCTCGAGTTAAAATTTGTTAGAAAATTTTAAATATACTTACGACCATATCACAGATGAAACGAACATGGTATGAGCACCAAGTATCTTTTTATAAAAAAAAAAACATTGGAAAGGCGAACTCTCTACTTCATAAAATCGGTTAAAAATTTAAGATTCTCACCATTTCCTTATTAGTTGTAGCTTTGTCCAATACCGCATCTAGCCAATCCCACTGACTTCTCGCCTGCGGACTGTTTGACTCTCGAATACTGAATAAGTTTGTATTCAACGCTACTATTCTTAGCTTGCTATGTGACTGTTCAATAGTATAGTAGCCACCTATGAAGAAATAGACAATTTTATTATTGTTATAGTAATAATTTAAAGTAAATAACTTAATAATACATTAATAGCAGTAGAATAAATAGTACTGTTGATATGTCTATATAGTAATAAAATATTCATAAATGGTTGTTACAGATACAAAAGAAAATTAAATATAGAAAGTAAATTTAATTTTGTGGCAATCCCTACAAACAATACCACCACTTCAGGAACAGGTATACACTACAAGTACTTAACTCTACCAATAGGACAAATAGTATTAAATAAGACACACATAAATTAATCGACATAAAATTGACTATTCGGATTTATGTACTTCATGGAATAAAACAGCTTTTCATAAGGCATTAACTTACATCATACAACCTTGAGATTCTCACGCCCATAGTTTTCTATTATCTAATAGAAAACTATAGGACAAGACTACATAAAGCTATATACTAGCTATTTTGCTTTATCTTAGTCTGACTTATTTATGTTACTTAATTAATTGAAGTACTAGAATAACTATTTAGTATTATCAATTGCTTCGTAATCTGCGTAGGAAAGGTGGGTTTACTTCGGTTAAAGTAGTGAAAATACAGAATATGAAGCGTAACATCTTAGTCCTCTGCAATGGCAACGCTTGTTGTGTGTACTTGTCATTACAATTACACAAAAAAAAAATACAATTAATTAAATGACTCAGTTCATTTATCTTACGCTTAATAAGAATAATCCTTACCATTTTGAAAGGTCTGTAAGGCCTCCAATGGTAACCAATGCATCCATAGATTTGTTAGTTGGGCGGACGGCGCGGGGTCCAAATGTCCTAACACAGGGAACACAAAGTGTGAACTAAACGTTCTACTGAGAAGATCTGTCATGTTTCTGATCGCCTGGTATTTATCATCCTCGTTACCGGTGTATCGGGCTGCAATGATGTCACTGAAATGGAAACTTGGTGTTTAATCACTTCTTAGACTAAATTAGAATATTGTTCTCTTGATGGTGAATATCTTATATTTTTATACATATTTATATAAGGCTAATAATTACGCAGAATTCAGGGAGTAACCAAGTTACATTTTTTTTAATTGTTGTAAGGCATTATTATGAGCATATGCAGTTCTATATTATGCTATAAATGGTATTTTCCATATTTTTCACTTTATTATTTTTACTAACGATGTTACGTACTTTTAGGAGATTAAAATCACTATGCTGTTAATATTCAGGAAAGCAATAGTTCGCAAGTCAAAATAATAATATTATTTACAGAAGTATATTTTTTTTATTTTGCAAGAATCAAGTCTAAAGTCCCGACATGGGTTATAAGAATATGTAATGTAAAAACGAGAGTATTTAAAAATGAGAATAATGGCCTACACAATAACCAAATTCAGACATATATGAACAAAATTGGTCTGTATAAATTGTGTAATATGAACAATTTTAAAATTTAAAAAATTACTACACTATATTTAGGCGAAATTTAGTATCATGTAAAAACGTACCCAGTCCATAGTACAAACTCAACATTCTCCGAGTGTCGCGTGCGCATGTACCGCGCTGCTGACTCGATCAGCTCCAGAGAACTGTCGCACGAGTAGTCACCGAAGCGACCAAGAGCTCTATGATGACCTGAACTTCCACGCTCATCCGCCCTCCGACAGTCTGCATAACAAAAACAATATTTATAATATATATTAAAAAGGGAGAAAGTATTTTTTTCCGTATATTAGACACGATATAATTACTGTACAGTAGAAACTTAAAATGTATTCATTCATAAAATAAAAGCCGCGTTCTATATATATTTATATACATATATTTAATAGGGAATTCATGTGGTGGTTTTCCTATTTGCCTTCCATAACGTGGTTGAATGTCTAAGGGTAACTGCTCGCAGTACAAATTCCCTTCTTGAAATGGTCTTCTCCGTCCCTACCAGCACAAGCTTAAGTACAAGTATAAGTCGCTACTACTCAATAATAGGGGAAGACCTATTTAATTTAAGGTTTTTTTGTCGCCATATCCCAACACTGTCATTAAACATCTCAGTGTTTTAAAAAAATAAATTTAATAGAAAATATGTACATGTCAATGAAACTTAATATGGATTTAAACAGCATAGAAGTTTCTAGACTAGAATGTATTTATTACCCATGCTCATGAGTTGACTATGTGAGAGGTAATGTCTTTATTAGTCATTAAATTATTCGTGTTAGACCCGATCAATCATAACCATTAAAAATACTTACTGTGTGAATAGTCTAATGCTTACTTAATTATTTACCTAAAATCCCGTACTGCGTTGTCACTGATTATGAACTTTCCTTATTTGTATTTCATATTAGTAGGAATACAATTATAATAATAAAAATGACTACATAATAATAACTACAATTACTATGATTAAAATAGGTAATATAATCAAATAATTTGTCTTCACAGGACAAATTCCCGAAATATCTATTATCAAAATGTATTAGACATCTGAACGCAATATTCCATTTAAACTTAGTCAATGGTTTGTCAATCTAAGCCAGTTGTTACAAGGGTGGTTTGACATAGCGACAAACCCCGGAATACTGTAGATTAATATACTATACACCTATATATCTATGAAATTAAACTGATTGTCAGCTTATATTAACTTCTAAACACACTGCTAGGGGAAGGAGATTAGTAATGTGAACCAATAATCCTATTTCTAGTAATGTACTATGTCAGACTGACCTCCACGCGGACTCCTCCTAGAAACCATCATGGTAAATTCCTGCTGAATATGTCACGATGAGCTAATGGACCTGACGTTATGCTCATCTTATCATCCTCCACTGCCCCGCCAGCGTAAACCGTTAGCACAAGCAGGTGCATACATTATCATCCGTTCAAAGAAAAAAAATATACACTGCTAAATTTTATATATGTGTGTTTTGTAAACTGTCATATCCGTCATTCTCGTGAACGGGTGCTGCTTGTAGTGACTGGTCTGCTCTAATCACTATGACTGATTGCCTCTTATTAATTGTTTAACAAGATGGTTATATATTCAATATTTTTTCTATTTGAGTGCTAATTGGTGGTTTGTATTCACACACTTAAACTTAAAAATGTAAAGTAATAATAAAATTATTTAAAAGAGCAACACGCTATAAAGTTCAAACTTGTGGCGGCGTGGTGGGCCGGGTCGATGTGCTCCCTCAAATATGGTTCCGTACAATGATGGCTAGCTCATACGTCATACTCGTGAACGGGTGCTGCTTGTGGGGACTGGTCTGTTCAGGTTGTGAACACTGATTAAATTTTTTGTTCTTTGCGATAGCATATGCTGGTGGTCACTCTATTCTCCCAAATTTGAATTTTAATAACTGTATTTATCATAAACATGTTCCACTATTATTTGAAAAAAATTACGAGCTGAGTTTCTTGTCAGTTCTTCTCATCTCGATATCATTCCGAACTGACGGTAGATTTGACATATCATAAGAGTCTGTAATAGACCTACATGAATAAAGATATTTTGAATTTGAATTTGAATACTGTCACTAAGTACCACTTACCATCACATGGTTACATAAAAAAGGAGAAATAATGTATTAGAATAATTATAATTTTGGAGTAAGATATAATGAAAATGAATACATAATTTAATTTTAAACAATTTCTTAGGAACCGACACTTAGATGACTTTCATATTTTTTATAAACATATGTGATGTAACATCCTTCCAAGAAGAGTTTGTGACAAATTTAATGGATATTTAGATGTTTGTTACCTTATACAGTAACTACTTGTCGGATTCGAAGGAAATTTGGTACGCAGATAAATCATATCCCAGATCAACAAATTATTTTTACTACAATTATCTAATATTATCTTATCTATGCTAGAATTAATATAAGAAACGCCGCAAATATTATTACAAATCAATGTCTTATTCTTGATAAATTCCTTACATTAATTATTACATCCGCATAGAAGTGGGTCAAAATTTAATATTATTTTAACCTTAATTTCGAATGAACAAAGTAGCAGATACAACAGTTAGTGTTTAATATAAAAGTTGTGCTCCACCCTGTACTCTAACGTTAATCCTATTACAAATTAATTTGTTTGAGTTCTCACAGCACAGTCGCCGACGAGAAATGGAATGCGGATATACAAAGAACTGATTATTTTTTAAGTGATAAGATACACCTATATTTTTTTATTTATTCATTAACAATCTACATAGTGCTTGAATGTTGATATTAAGTATAGATTTTCTAGTCAACATAAAAATACCACTAATAATAAAAAATAAATAAAAAATCATCAATTGAGTAACAGCCTTTCTCTAACAGTAGTAACTTCAATGTTTTAATAACATAATTTAATTTTTAAAGTTGGTAAAATTATTTGTTTAAAAAATTAAAAGAAGTTTTCTTATGATATATCATATTAAAATCGTAAAGTTTTCTAGATATTAATTTAAAGAACGTATTTTACTCAAATAAGAGTTAGAAGAAGAAAATAAATATATACTTTTATTGTACTGTTGAACTATTGAACTACTCAAAAGAAAAAATTATATTTGGATGATGCATTTGTCATTCCAAATATGAAATATCTTTTGACATATTATTAAAATTATTTCAATGATATCGAGATAAAGAAAAGTATAAAAGTAAACAAATTTTTTTGACCGCATGGACTACTTTTGAATAAGATTAGTAATATTTTTGAATATAATAATCCAAGAACCTTCTTACGATTATAATATCATTTATGTTTATAATTTCAGTAGTAGCTTACGTAAGGAAGAAAACAATGAGCTAACTTTGAAAGTTTTTTTTATAAACAAATCAAGTAGGTAGATTTAATTATTTTCCTGTTTGATTGTTCCTACTTGCTCGATAATATATAACTGTGAGGATACAATTTAAAAATGACGTTCATACAATTTCTATCACATATTTATGACTAGAAAAATAGTTATTCTTGCCGTGAAGTTTTATGTTACTAAGTTTTATCACGTGCTTCTTGCAAAAATGTAATAAAATGGTAGAAGTCTGGAACTAATAAAATCGTGCAAAGTCCAGAGTTATTTTACGGCTAAGATATTTTTAGTATTCTAGAGTATTTCTCAGTTGACACATATTTTAAATATATATATTTATTCATGACATTCATATTTTTATGACACTTTGAATTATTAAACCCCGAGCAGGTGAATTGCTACATGTCAATAAAATAGGCTGAAACAGGTGCACTGTGTTAGGCACGGGGACAACTTTTTACACAGTAAACCTCGGTAACCAGTACGATTAAACAGACATACAAAATCTGTTTTCTTTATAATATTAGTATACATGTATGACTAAAATAGTGTATAGTAGTAATATAACAATATATAAAAATATATTTATATATTGTCATATTCCTACTATACTAGTACTATAGGCTTCCTAAAAATATACTTTAAAACGAAATATATAACCTTAAGTAAACACGAATATAATAAAGTCCAATTAAAAAATATCAACTATGTTTTAAGTCAGTATAATTAAAGCGAATTCTTTATATAATAGTTTGTACCTACGTCTTCTAGTATCTCCTTGTGATGTGTAGAGAGGGTCATAGTGAAAGTCTGTGATGTGCCAGAAGTAACCTGTAACAACATAACAACAAATAAGTAAAGAACCACATGACGTACACTGTCAAAGGAATCATCAAATGTAGTTGGGTACAAGTTATAAGTTATATAACTTGTACCCAACTACAGGTATAAGTTACCTACTTATAAAAAATACAATGACATTAAGATTTATATTTATATGGGTCAGCAAGTAATGTATAACATTTTCTTAAAGAAATATGTTATACATTACTGGCTGACTCACGAAACTATGTCTACATCACACACATTATATATTTTGCCCAATAGACATAATATTGTTAAATTATAGCGTATGTGTTATTCTGATGTATGATATATTACTATAAAATTTCATCAAAATCCTTTCAGTAGGTTTTGCGTGATAAGTACCAAACATCTATCCATCCAGTCATACATACTCAGAAACTTTCGCATTTATAATACTAGTAAGATTTTATTATATACTGTAATAGCATCTCGCAGGTTTGTCTTCATGATTTCAGATGATATATATAATAAATATATATAAATTAAATTTAGATCAATTCAGCCATTTAAATATTTAGATTAGAATACAAACTTCTAAATTCAAGAAAACTTAAAGCTAAGCACTTTTCTATATTCAAATATGAAAATAATTTTTACTCTAGCACAGTCTCTAGTAAAACTTTACCAATATTGTATTTTTTAATAAGTGTTTAATTTTGTATGTAAATGTAACCGATTTAGATTTTGAATGTTTCATATTTCAATTGCTCTAACTGAAACACTGCTATAACTTTATATAATCTCACATATTAATTGTATTACGCAATATATTGGAACTGAATTCGTGTAGATACAATTGTAATATAAATCCATATTCATATAATATAATAAGGGACTTAAAAATTCAGAGCATTGATTTTCATAACTATCGTTGTCAAACCTTGACCTCGTGGAGGTGTATGTCAAGGTCAGATACACTTAAGTGATAGAAAATTTCACAATTATAATGAAGATGTATTGATAAATAAATAATGCCTCCCTGTGGAGTACGAATGCCAACATTTTACTACCCAAAATGTCGTATATGTATGTATGGCTAGTAGAGGATTAAACCAAAAGTACATTAAAGCAATAATAACGTAAACGTAGAATAATTTATAAAGTACCATTTAGTCCCAAACTGAGCAGAGCTTATATGTGTAAACAACAGTATATATGCATATAAATATATATGTTTTGTAAATATAAATATGTATAATATAAAGGGACCCCTTTTCATAATTTATATATTTTTTAAGCTTTTTAATTTTAGGTTCTTCGTTGTACAATTAAGTTATGTAAATAAAAGTTAAGTTTTGTAACTAAGAAAAATATCTTAAAATAGGATATTATACCCAGCTTCCTGGTGGACATAATAATAAAAATAACCTTAAAAATATTAATTAATGTGGAATAATAAAACTATTCTGTATATATTACCAGGGGAGCAGGGAGTGTTAGCAATGGGAACTATTGCTTATAGCCTCTCATTGCTAGCAATGTCCTGTATTACGTTCCACAAGCTCTCGATCCTTCTATTGCGGTAAATACCTGCACTAATCGCTACGATATGCTAACTCACCTGACCTCATCTTTATCATGTCATATACCTTTGATACTCGGTCATCATAAATTGTTAGTATATCGGGTTCACTATACTATCATCACTTATTAAGAAATACGTAGAAAGCATTTTAACAAATTTAAACCTTATTAAAACACTGTAGGTATCATATACTATTAAACAAATATCAACTAGTAAATCTGTCATACTCGTGAACGGATGCTGCGTGTCACCCGAGTCACCCGAGTCTTGATGTAGACTCTACTGAATTAGTGTTCGTAACCAGAAGGTTACGAACACTGGTAATACTATTTGCTTTTGACAACGTTGCAATAGCATATGCTGGTGATCACTCTAATCTCGCAAATATTCATTGGAGAATGAATGTGTATTATTGTAAACATGTACAACCTTTTTTGAAAATAATACGAGCAGAGTTTTTTGTTAGTTCTTTTCAGCTCGAAAGCTCTCCGAACTGATCGTATATTTAAAGATCAAACGAACTTACCAAGTGAAGTTCGATCATAATTATGTGACAGCTTCATTCTTAGCGATTTGTGTTTACATATTGTAGTAGTATTCCCAAGCACCAGCCTCGCACGGTAGTTTATAGTTTTTTTTTTTTTTTTTTTTTATAAAAATAAAAATTAGTTGTTGTATTGACTATTCCCTTACTACCTCCCACTACTTACCCGATAAGGTGGGATATTCTTGTTACTGCGCTCATTTTGTTTAAAGTAAAGTTTTCATTTCAAATTTTATGTAGTTTTTATGTTATTTTTCGCTTCACACTTCTCACTTTATTGTCCGGGTTTGGGATATTAGAAAGAACCTCAGCTAAATTATTCCATTTTTACAATACGCACATAAGTATATACATATATGAATGCATCAAGTGGGTGGGTGTGAATAAATCGCTAAGAATGAAGCTGTCACATAATTATGATCGAACTTCACTTGGTAAGTTCGTTTGATCTTTAATTATGTTTCCAGCTTCATTCTTAGCGATTTGTGTTTACATATTGTAGGATGTTCAGAGAATTGTCAATAAAGTGTGCGGAAAATGTAGTGAAATGTAAATAGGTAAGGTAACATGCATATTATAACACAATAATTTTAATATGTTATAGTATGCATGCATAACACATTGTTCTGTTAATTACAGTAGTCATGAAGATAGAATGTATCTCGCCTGTAGTTTTTCTAATTACATCTACGTTGACTATTGGCTATCTAAGTATCTATCTAAGTCTATTGGCCGCCGACGTGGAACGTACACGTCATGGTGTACTATGCGCGATGAATACAGCGGTAACCATGCTACTATGTAGCAGACAATCCTTAACCCATTGACTCATCCGTTAACAAGAAACATTGTTATGAGGTTTTTTATGACTAATGAATAAATTATTACAATTAGATTTTCATTAACTGTGTGTTTTGTTTAGATATGCACTCAAACACATCTTGCAGGATAAATTTCGACCTTTTCATTGTAGAAACACGATTTTAACATAGGTTGAAACTGTTAGGCTTTGAGGTCCTTATGTGTTTTCTTGCAAGCGTTATCTTTACATATCTTGATGATAAGGACCTTTTAATTAAACCTTCATGACATTCTCGCGGCTACCACTTACAGACTGCAGCGTAGATTATGGGATCGTTTGAAAGGAGATTTGTGACATGTAAACCATGGCTCCAGTATATTATTATCTAGTATTATAGTACGACTACTAAATCTTCTGCTTTGGCATTTATTATTTCTAGAATCAGTTTCCGAATTAATACAAATGGTGGAAAATAAAAATAGTAAAAAAATGAGTATTTTTACCAAGAAATTGAAAATGCATCAACTGCAAATGCTTCTGGATTTTCTTTTATTTTTTTTTTTTTTTTCATATGACTTTACATCCATGCTTCACTTTGTGACAACTTGCAAATCAATAAAATTACTAATTTATCCTGTATTTCTAAAAGCAAGAATCGGCTAACTTCTACTCAGTTCAAAAATTGTAGTGTTAATATAAATAATTATTTTACGCTTCTCATGCAATTGGAAGATTTGTTTTGTATTTGTAATTTAAGACACACCAAACACCCTCAGGTGTTGCACATTTTACATTATCTATTCTAAGTAATACCTCACAATTGGATAAATCCGATGCATATAATTTTAAACCAAATAATAAATTTCTTATTTTATAATGTGTAGTAAACGTTTGTTATCTTTCGAATACCCATTCGATTTTTTATTGCCACAGAACACTCCCCAACCGGTACCTGATGTGTCAGAAAGTATGTCTACACTAAATTATTTTGCAATTAGAGATCAGAAAATTATTGAATCGAAGTGGAAGTTTATGGTGGATGAAACATTCATCCACCAATTTTAACTCTGTTTGCATTTATGAGAAATTGATATCTTGTTTTCATTAATTGTATTTTTCGTCTTAAGTCAAAAATAAATCCAAATATTTTTTCTCGACTTTCGCCGGTAATCTTGGTATGTACGGGCTTAAGCCAAGTACATAACAATGTTCTATTTCAGGTGGATATACCATAATACAAATGTAGGCCTAATCTGTCTGTAGAAACTTTCTAACCATGCGGCATGTGTTCGACTGACATGCATATTAGGGTATTTTTCAATAAACTTTAGATGTAAAGGTTCCAAGTAGTTTTTTTTTTTTTTTTGTGTCAGTGTCTAATGCAGTGAGTTGAAGGTAAGTTCGCAATATGAACAAATTCATTTCAAGTGTCCATCGTTTGCGTTTTTGAAGAGCGCCAGAGATGGGTGCAAGCTCATTGTATTATTATTATTATTTCTTAATTTTATATTATTACCATTATTTATTCTATTATTATTAATATTATTTATTAATTTTAATTTTATTATTTATTTATTTTATTATTATTATTTGTTTATTTTATTATTATTATCATTATTTATCATATTATTATTATTATTATTAAATAAGTAGTGATTGGAAAATACAAGTGGTATCATTGACATTAGAATAACATTCAGCATATGAACGGCCAAAACAAGTAAATTACAGACACTAACGTTCTGGAACTTAAATATTACATAACTGGTATTATATTACATAACAAAATCTCTGTAAATATGTATGGGGCTGTACACAGGCCAAATAGAAATCAATTGAATTGATAGATAGATAGATAATTTATTTGCTTCAACATTTACAACAACAGTATAAATGTTCGCCTCATATTCAGGGGGCATGCAAATTACAATTCATAACAATTACTTTTACAATTAAATTACATTATAAATAATAATATCAGATGTCAGGTCAATTCCCGCAAAGAGTAACAGCATTTTTTAACGAGCCATTGCTGTAATTCTTTTTTAAATCTATTTAACGGCATCTCTCGAATTACCTGTGGTATTTTATTA